ATGAGAGAGACACAAGGATTTTTATCCTGGTTCGCTTGACACTCAAAGCTAATCCAGTCCACTCGCCAAGGTAATTTCTCCTTATACACAAGAACTTAATCCACTATATTCATTTGATTACAATTGCAATCAACAGGTGGTGACTAACAGATCACAAAGATAAACTTGAAGGGTGTGAATCAAGAAGAAGAATCTCAACCTGTAGATGATGAAGATGATGCACTGATCAAAAAATTTGAAATTTTTTTAAGAAATGAAAAGACAAAGGAAATTAGTCAAAGAGAAGCATCAACTTTAAGAAAAAATGTTACTTTTTTTTTAATGTGGAAGAAGAGGTTATGTCAAAAGTTAGTGCCTTACTCTTCAAAAGAATATCAAAGTCAACAACAAGAAGGGTATGATATTAAAAAGAGCTTACCTGGTATGCCAAGACAGTGAGATGAATTCATCTTTAGATGAAGAACAAACACATATGAAATTAATAGCTTCACACCATTCTAATGATGAAGAAAATGAGGTTAGTGATCTTGAACCATCTTATGATAAATTGTATAATGTCTTCCTTGAATTGCATGTAGAATGTTTGAGTGCTTTTAGAACATGTTCAAAATAAAAGAAAATAATTATCTCTAGAAAGTAAGACTTATGACATGAAAGTGGAATTAGACAAAGTCAAAAATTCTGCATGTAATAAATGTGAAACAGTTGAATAAAAAAATGTTGAATCGAATCAAGTCTTAAATAAATACGAGAAAGGACAACTTGGTCTAAAAAATGTGTTAATAAAACAAAGGTACTTTAATGATAAATGTTGGCTTTGATACGCTAAATTTGATAAATCGAGTATAAGCAAAACTATCTTTGTTAAGGCTAGCAATAAATTTAATAATATAGAATTAATTGGAAAGTGCAAGTTGAAATTCATCCTAATAGGGTTTATATTAAAAATAATTCTTATGTCTCTAAAGAAAAGAATTTCTTTAAGGCTACATATTTTTATTGCAATACATAAGGTCATACTCCTAATATTTGCTACATAAGAAACTTTGGTGTTCCTAATAGTGAGTATGTGTGGTTAAGAAGAGAAACTAACTCAAAAGGACCCAAAGAATATTGGGTACCTAGAAAGTATTATTTTTTGTTTATTGTAGCTACTTGGAAACCATATACTAACATTGTAAAATTAAGATTGATTGTTCAAGATACAATAAGATCATATGATATGGTAAGAATAAAGTTTCATTTGATTGAAGATGAATTAAAAAGATAGACACTTTCAACTAGCATTGTGAAGAAGATAAGTACTTTAATATAGGATGTATATTTTCCTTATATTACTTTACTTTGAATTTTACTCTTTTCCTTTTTGATAATGTCAAAAAATGGGAGAAGATGAATGATTGTTTTTGTTTATTTTTCAGGAAACCAAAAAACAAAGCATGAATTTCAAAATAAAGGGGAAGATATACAAGATAGTGGGAGCATCAAGCATCTAACAAAAAAATTCAATCAATACATTTTATCATCATAAAAAAATGGGGAGATTGTGAAGAAGATGTACATCATCTATCTTAGTTTAGTTTAGTTTTGATGAAGACAAAAGATTATCAAAGAAGAAAAAGTTTGAAGTCTAACTCAATCAAATATCAATAGTGCATAAATTATCGGATGTTTTGGATTTAAGGAAATTCATTTTGGTGCCAAGGTACTTAATTGCAATTAATTATGTATAAAATTTAGATGTTCATAAAAACTCATTCATTCATTTCTAAAGTTTCTAAGCGTTTTGTTAGATTAATTATTTAATTAATCAAATATTAATTGACATAATTAATTATTAGTTAATTATATTATGATCTATTATTATTAAACACTAAATAGATGAATTGTTTTATCGGGTTTTGTGCCTGAATGAACCGCGCTGGGTTGGACCATTCAGTTAAGTCCAATGAGAGGTCTTTGCCCTGAGCCGTTTAGCTATTTAAGTGTCTCCCAATTAGACAATTAACATACTCTGAAAATCCTAAACGGGTAGTAATTCTCTTATACTCATTATCTCTGACAGTAATCTCTCCAATACTAAAAGGTACATCGTTTTTATCGTTCTTGATTATTCTTAAATATCTAATATGTTATAATTTGTATCTATTAAATTAATTTAAATCTATCAAGTTCATGCATCAAAATCACTTAATTTAAGCATTTTTAAAGTATATTTTTCGTATAACCGGTTATAGGTTCATTCTATTTGAAAATTTTTAAAATGTTTTACACTTTTTAAGTTAGGTAATCGTTTACCTGATTTAAAAAACCGGTTACATGACCGTTGTTGTTTGAAATTTAGAAATATTTCAACACTTTTTAAATCAGATAATCGATTACCTAATTTAAAAAATCGAGTACAAAATGTAGAATTTTGTCTTTTCATGAATCATTGTCGTTCTAAACTATTGGAAACCTTCATGAAAATGTCTCAAACTTATGCATCTATTCATAGAGGTTTCTTATGGTGTATTTAAGATTATATACATCATATTTTCAAATGAGATCTTTCATTCTAATTTAAATACAATTCAAATATGTTTCAAGTGATCCATTCATCCAAAATCTTGAAACTTTTTATGTATAAATTGTCATATCTTTGCAACAACAAAAAAGTTGAGTAATTAAAGTTATTCTATTTGAAATGTACCTTGAAAGAGAAGATCAATTTAAAGTATTAGAATTGATTCAAGAACATTTCCTATATTCAAAAATCTCAAACCTTTCATAGAGGAACTTCATTTGCTTTGGCGGGTCCATCTCAAATTATTTTTGGTTTGAAATAGGTACAGTATGGACATTTTAAGAAATGTGTGAATTTTCTCTAATTATCATGATTATTACTGTACTAATCTACAAACATGAAATGTTATTATATTAATTTCAAAACTTTGAAATAAAATTTGCCATGATGCATAATCCGTTTATACCAATCCAAACGGACTAAACAAGACCGAATTGACGTAACGGATACATAAAAAAATGAAAAGAAGATTTCGTACATGAGTTGCAATATAAACTACTCCCGTTGAGTCATGTCTGCAGATAACAAAAAATAATGATTTTTTGATTCTGTGTGTGGTATGATGTAAGAACTAGGAACATGGGACGATGTTGTATCCCATCCACTTTCTTTTCCAATCTTTGTTTTCACTTTCAGCTCTAAATTATTCTAGTCCATTCTTTTCAATCGTTTCAAGTTTCAACCACTCAAATGTGAGAAAGAAATTTTAACCTTACACTAAAAAATACGTAGGGTTTTATCATATGCTTTCTCACGATTGATGCACAAATCAACAGCATGCAAGATGGAAAGTATGTTACATCATGTGACTTGTTATTGTATTGTCATTTTTTTTAGTAGTAGAAAGATATCATCAAATTGAGGTGAGTTCCAATACCCAACGTTTTTAAGTTAAAACTCCATCAGGATGGTTGATCTTAAATCAATTGTGTAAAAGCTCCAAAACAAGGTGAGATGAGACGAAATAATACAAAACGGTCACCGTTGAAGATGCAAATCTAAATATTTGATCTTAGAGTGAGACAAACATACGTGCCTTACATTTTTAAAATTTTTTTCATCATTACCATCTTTTTATAAATTTATTTTCAAAATGTCATACATTTCAACAAATATACTAAAATACCATAGTTTCAAAAAAATTGGCTTTTTGGTACAAGGGTGCCGCCCATTCAATGGGCGGCAGTGTCTTTATTAAAACATAAGAAAAAATTCAGACTTGGTCACTGTCGTCCATTGAAAGGGCGACACCTTAAAAAAATATTCAAAAAAACATTTTTTTGAAACGGTGACATTTTAGTATATTTGTTGAAACTTGTGGTATTTTAGAAATAAATTTTTAAAATGATGGTAGGGATGAAAAAAATTCACATTTCTAAGGCTTAAAATCATTAAAAAAAAATTCTTGTTATTCTTCTTGTCCATTAAAAATCGCAAATACAACGAAATATATATATATATATTAAAGAATGTGAGTCTAAAATCTTGATCTTTTAAAATAAATATAAATAAAATGAGCATGCTTAATAAATCGAACTCATTTGTCAACCTTAAATTATATATTCTTTGCACGCAATTGTAGAGACTAATTCTTATACCAGATAAAATTATAATAGGTGACAACATTCTCCTTCATTTAACACGACTTAATATTTATAACTGAGTTCGAACACAAGATCTCTAATTAAATTGAATGAAACACCTTTATATCGATACATTATTATTGAGTAGATTTAATACTAACACTTTATTTTAAAAAATATGTCTGAGTTTTTAATGTTATTTAATAAAATTAGCCAAAATATTTCTTGTCATAGCTCTTTTGGATTAGTTGAACAGTCATCCAAATCTTGGTCATGTGATCAAGAATGGACGGGTGACATTTTAAACTAAATTTTATTCTTTCTTAAAATATTAAAAAAAACTACTATATCATCTAAATTTGTTATATTCATCACTTATTCTATATATATTATTAGTATTATCCTATTTCAATTCCCCTATGAAATCCAAATGAAAGCAACTGAATATATACTCGTCAGAACAAGTATTAATCAATCTCTTTCGTGTTTTGGAGGCAAGTATATAAAAGAAGAAAATATAGGACAATCAAAACTTAGCGTGCCCTTTTTTTTTGTTGCTTCCTCTGTTTGCATATGCAGGCCACAAAGTACTCACTACAAATTATTTAAATATATATATATAAATAAAAAATAAAAAAAATAATAATAATATATTGCATCAAATTAGAGTGATGTAACATAATAAAAGCTATGAAGGATAGCATATAAGGACAATGAATTGATTACATCATACAATTGATAAAGCAAAAAAGCTACCTCCTTAAAAAAAAATTAAAAAGATGTATAATTATAATAAATTAATCATGTACAAAATAAATTGCTATACAATTAATTAGATTAATTAATTGTATTTAGGGGTTGAAAATGAGGCTTCCACATTTGCATTTCCAACTCATAGGCTTGTAATTGGAATTGTCCTTTCCTCTTGAATAAGCAACTGAATTGAACTTTGAAGAGTTTATCTTTCCATTTTGCACTTGAGGATTTGTAGGCACCTGAATAGCCTCACAGTGTCCACATGTTCTACACCTTCTATCACATTTTGGTGGCCTTGACCCTATTTGAGCCCTTAGAAACATCTTCTCATCACCTAATGTCTAAAAAAAATTCATCATCATTCAACTTAAACTCATCCTTTTATATTTTCGTGAGTTTGTCGGAATCTCGTGATTCTGACAAACTCGCGGTGAATTCAAACATACACTAATATATATATGTAAGAGAAAATTTACCTTGTGAAAACCACTTTGTTTAGGAGTCTTTCTGGCTTCAATAACTAACCCTTGGAGGATGCAGCTTGACATTACCAAAAAGAAAAGAGAAATGCAGATGACATGATGATCAAACCTCATTTTTTGAGGAGAAAATTGTAATAATAGATAGAAATTAGAAACTGAGGCAAAAAAAATGTGAAAAAAATGGAAGGTTGAGATGAAGAAAATGAAAATGTGAAAGAAGAAGAAGCAATATATTGTTGAGATGAGAAATGTGAAAGATGAAGTGATGGAACATAGAAAGACAAATGAGGTGAACTGAAAAGGAAAACACTTGTCCTTCCTTTGGTTACTGAGCCAGTAAACAAAGATTTTACTTATTTATTATTTATAATTATAATAATAATAATTGGTTTGGTGAAGAAGAAAAAGAATAAGAACCCTGAGAATATAAAATGAAAGACAAAGAGAACCAGAAACAGCAAAACGCCACAAATTTCAGAAGATGAGAGGGACAAGTTGTGTATTTACAGCTGGGTGGTTTTCAATTCTTCATTTCTTATATAGTTATTTATTTATTTATATACACACATTATTGTTTTTGTTCATGGTAATTTATTAAAAAAAAAATTTATTTGTATTATATAGTTGGATTTGGATGATTTTATGTTGTTTTATTTTATTTTATATTTATATTTTATTTTCAAAAGAAAATGTCATGTAGTTGTAATGGGTTGTACACTTTTTGTGTTTCTTGTAGTACGTGAAGGTTGCAGTCCCACCTTATCACGGCACCTCTTTCTTTTGTATGAATACCTCATACAGGCATTGTGAATTCAAAAGGTTTTTTTTTTCTTTTTTTAAATTTATAAATAAAATAAAATAAAATGTTCAATTTTCAAAAACTTACACAAAAAACTTTTGTCAAACTAAATGACGAAATCATAAGAGGTGATATGTATATAAATTAATACAAAATTAAAAATTTATAAATAAAAAATTAAATAATCTTTGGATTAGAGAAGACCTTTTAGAAACTTTAAAAATAAAATATTGAAGGAGTTTTTCTAAAGATAAATAAAGTGTTTAGAATATTTTTTGATTGGTCATTATGGATGTTATTTGGGTAACGATTTTGTCATAATGATTGTAGATGTGTAAGAATATTTTTTTTATTTGTCTTTTTTGCCTTCTAACATGGTGTGATATGTACTTCTTATTCAGGGATGATGGACACCCTCATTTCTATTGTTAGTTCAAGTTTGACCTATGGATCTGCTAGGGTCAAGTTTTAGATCACCAACTAAGAATAACACTTAGTCTCTCGTATCCTCTTCTATTTGGTTTGGTGTTTTGGGTTTGTCCTATATACATGGGTTGCAACATAACTATTGGTTTAAGAGACATGTTTATGTAACTATTGTGAGTTCATGCTCGCGGTCCTTTTAGATTTATATATGCCTGCAAACTCCTAAACATTACTGGTAAGGATAAAATGTTTGAGATATTACTCGATACATCAACCCTGGTAAGTAAGAGGCCCTGTAGGGATAAATTGTTTGAATATATTACCCCAATCCACCAGTCTTTAATGCATGACGCCTTGTAGGAACAAGGTGAATCAAATCTCTATAAGTTGATTATTATGGGTTGTTTTAGATTGGTTTTTTTTATTTATCTATAGGGAGTAGGGTTGACAATGAACCGAATCAACTCGAAAATAGTTTGGAATTCGATTCGACAATTAAATCGTTGAACTAGGTTCATTAACCAAATGATTTGAGCATGAGCGAAAAATTAAGTTCGTTAACTAAATGAGTTGAACTTGAACTATACATAGTTTGACTCGTTAGGTTCATGAGTCAACTCGATTACATATGAGAAGAATTATATTGTCTTTAAGATTAGGTTTAAATATTTATTCCAAATTTTAGACAAATTTAATCTTCAATTTAGTAGTTTTTGAATTAGACTCTCAAATGTATCTCTTGAAAGTTGTGTAGGTTTTAAATTAGTAGATTTCGAAGATAAAGTTAAATTTCAATATGATAACTTTTATTTTATTTTAAAAATATATATTTATTTAAAATGTCAAATATACTAAAAAATATATATATTTAAAAAAATAGTTTTTAAGTCCGTGAATCATGTGAGCTGAACCTAATGAGATGAACCTAACGAGTTGAATCGAACTGTTCGTGAACTTATAACGAGTCGAGTTTGAGCTTAAAAAAAGTTCGTGTCGAACTCGAACTCGAACAATTCTTAACGAGTTGAGCCAAGCTGAGGTGGGTTCGACTCGACTCGACTCATTTCCAGCCCTAATAGGGAGTCACATTTGGTATATTGAAAATGAAATTTTCTTTACATTATTTTCTTATGATCGAGGAATTTGAATGGTTGTGTTTCCCTATGTTGTTGATATTATGGTTATCAAAAGGTATTTATTACCCCACTTATCTTTGTGAATGTGTGTGTCCGGTCCCCTATGTGTCAACTAATATAGTAGGTTATCACTTCAACTTTTACACACTTGATTGATGTGACTATAGAGTTTCCTTCTTCTATTCTTTTATAGTATTTTAATTATACGTTATTCATTGCTCTTTTTTTTTATCAAGTTTCTCATTTTTCTTTGTTTCGTACCCTAAGTAATCTTATTGTTGTATTCTTTGTTTCTTTCAAAGGTACTATTTCTTTTTTTATTTTTTTTTTAAAGTTTTTATTTGTTCTTTCATTTACTTTGTGATGGTGATACTGAAAGAAATGTGTTCTAATGGTGAACTTGTTACTTCCCTCTTTCTGATAAAGAGTTTGTCTCTAGGTATTACTCTCACTTTTAAGTCAAATGTAGTAGTATAAATTGAAGAAATTATTTTAGGGAAATTTTAGGTTTTAGCAGCCCATATAATAGATGTAGGGTTTCATGTGAGGATAGTGAGAGTATCCATGATTGTGATTGCGTAATAATTTCTACTTTTCCATTCCCATAATGTGTCTAAGATTCCTCTGTTGCGCTTGATCTAATGAAATGTTCTTCCATTGGTGATTATGATTGTAGTTTGTGATATCCTTATAAAAATACCATAAATATGCTTAGGTTTAGGTGCCAAGTGTCGTCTACTGGTTTTGGAGAAGGCTTTATTTTGAAACCCGTTTTGGATTAGAAGAAAGTTATTATGTGAAATTCTGGTATCAGATATCAGATGTCGAAGACAATGTTTCCGACAGTAATATATGTTAAGTCATCAATAAGAACAAAGATAATCATATAACAAACGAAAAGAGACACAAGAAATTGTTAACCCAGTTCGGTGAAAACACACCTACGTCTAGGGGCTACCAAACCAGGAAGGAAATCCACTAAGTAGAATTAGTTTGAAGATATACAGTAGACGCTCTCTAGTTTACCATCTTCTCACCTAATCTCTACCCTTGCAATTTATACCTAGGACACTCCTAGATAAGAGACACCTTTCACTCCCCCTCAATCACAACAGTGATAACAACAACAAATAAAGAGACTTTAGAAGACACTCTTCAAAGACACAACTTGATCTTGCTTAAAAGCTTCAATCAAGTACAATACACTCTTGCTTACAAGCTTTGAGTGAACAAATTACAATACTGAACTTAGTCCAATTCACACATTAAGACAATGAGTGAATGACTCACAAATTACTAAAACACATGAAGGCTAGAGCACTAAACCTTACACAATTGCATACACTTAATCCTAGCTTCTCTGATCTGAAGGCTAGGGTTTACGCATCCTTAAATAGAAATACTTGGACGGGCTTGGGATGTAGCAAAAGTAACAGCAGATTGAAAAGAGATCAATCTTCATAATTTTCATCAATGAAACAGATTTGATTTAATCAATCAAATCCAATCAAATCACTCTTCAAATCTCCAATGTAATATTCTTATAATAACTCTACTGAAATCAACAGGTGAATCAGAAACGCCTTTGCACAATACCAAAATCCTCGCAGATTTACACCAGATTAGTGCAACAGGTTTGCACAAGAGAGATAGACAAACAACCACATTCATGCAGAATTTTTTGTTCATAAGAGTCAGGACATCATGTTTGACATCATGACATAAGTTCTGCTACAACATACAAATCAACCTGCAGAACCTTAGAAACAAATGTCACGATATCCTGTAGGACATCTTGTGATTACACCAAGTTTTACCAAAATACCTGCCAATCAGGAACTAACACACTCCTCCTTTGGAAAATTTTGGCTAAAACATAAACAGATCACAAGAGCTTCAAAAACAACAAAGAGCACAGCAAAAACAAAAAAAAAACAAGGAATAACATAGGAGTAAAAACTCTGCAAAACTCCCCCTCAGCAAATGCAAGTTCACACACAAACAACAACCCAAGCACACAAATAAAACAGCCAAACTCACTTCAGCATTCAGCAACCTATAAGACAAAAACTCATAAACAGCCCAAACAACACCATTCAACAGGATCAACATCTAGTCAGAACAAACAGAGCAGCAGCAACAAACAACATCTTCCAACCAGCTACACACCTGCCACCTGCCATAACCATATACCAAATTGTATACTGACCAAGCTATTACCAAGCCAAGCTTCTCCCCCCTTTTTAGCCATAAATTTTAGAACAAAAGCATAAAATATCATAATGTCAGAATCAAGACGAGTTAAGGGTATAGAGACCTAATACTATTACAACCCAAAAGCACATGAAGTGCAAATATAAAGTTCATTCTGTCAAGGCAGACAAATCAAATAACCCAAAAACAAACAACTAGCAAACCAAGCAACTTATTCTTTATCATCAGACTCAGAACTTTCAGCAACAACATCATCAGTATCAGTTGGCACAGAAACATCACCATCCTCAGATTCCTTCTCAAACCCATCCTCACTATCATCACCATTCATAGTATTCTCTTCACTTTCAAGGCACTAAATTAGAGACTCCAATTTAATTTTTCTAGCAGTAGCAACATTAATCGTATCACCCAGTTCCCTGCAGGTTTCCTTCAACTCTGAAATAATCCTTACCCTTGATGCAGAAGCCTTCTTAGCAGAAGTTAAGACAATGTCAGGGACATGTCTTCTAGTAAACAGCTTATAATGAAGGGACAAC